AAAAAAAAAAAAAAAAAAAAAAAAAAAGAAACCTTTTTCCTTTAAGCAAATCACCTTAGTGGATAAAATCTGTGGTTCTCAAACTTTAGGCTATATCAAAATTACCTGCAGAGTTTAAGACTGGACTGCAGGGTCCCACCATCAGAGTTTCTGATTCAGAAGTTTTGAAGTTGGAGCATACAGTTTGCATATCTTTTTTATTTTTTTTCCTTTTTTTTTTTCTTTAATAGAGACATTGGGATGTTGTAGGGGCATGAGTGTGTATTGCCCAGGCTGGTCTTGAGCTCCTGAGCTCAAGCAGTCCTCCTACCTCAGCCTCCCAAAGTGCTAGGACTATAGGCTTGAGCCACCACATCCAGCCCAATTTGCATATTTAACAGTTTCCTGGAGACACTGATGTTGTTAGTCCAGAACTGCACTTTGAGAACCACTGGATTAGATTATCCCTTTGGCCTCATAGACTGTAAGATTATGAGAATACAAGGTAAATATAAAGCAGATTTTAGTTTGATGTAAGGGAATAGGTCAGTTAATAGAGTTGTTTCAAAAAAAAAAAAAAAAAATTAAAGGAGGCAGGTGAATCACCTGAGTTCAGGAGTTCAAGACCAGCCTGCCCAAAATGGTGAAACTCCATCTCTCCTAAAAATACAAAAATTATGCTGAACTTGGTGGTTCACTCCTGTACTGCCAGCACTTTGGGAGGCTGAGGTGGGTGGAGTTCAAGACCAACCTGGCCAATGTGGTAAAGCCCATCTCTACTAAAAATACAAAAATAAGCCAGACGTGGTGGTGGGTGCCTATAGTCCCAGCTGCTTGGGGAGGCTGAGGCAGGAGGATTGCTGGAATCCAGGAGCTGGAGGTTGCAGTGAGCTAAGATCACGCCACTGCACTCCAGCCAGGGTGACAGAGTGAGACTGTCTCTTCCTCCACGCCCCACCCCAGAAAAAAAGAAATTATAAAAATTGGCCAGGCTGAGATGGGAGAATTGCTTGAACCTGGGAGGTGGATGTTGCAGTGAGCTGAGATGTCACTCCAGCGTGGGTGACAGAATGAGACTTTGTTTTAAAAAAATAAAGCCTCAAATAGCTGGGACTACAGGCATGTGCCCATCTTGCCAGGCTAATTTTGCCATTTTTATGTAGAGATGTGGGTTGTGCCATGTTTGTTGCCCAGGCTGGTCTCAAACTCCTGGGCTCAAGTGATTTGCCCACCTCAGCCTCCTGAGCCACTGTGCCTAGCCAAGATACTTTTTTTTTTGATTACAGGGTCTCACTCCGTCACCCAGGATGGAGTGCAGTGGCATGATCTCGGCTTACTACAGCCTCCACTTCCCAGGTTCAAGCGATTCTCCCATCTCAGCCTCCCGAGTAGCTGGGATTACAGGCGTGTGTCACCATGCCTGGCTAATTTTTTGTATATTTAGTGGAGAAGGAGTTCCTCCACGTTAGCCAGGGTGGTTTCGAATGCCTGACCTCAAGTGATCTGCCTGCCTTAGCCTCCCACGGTGCTGAGATTACAGTGCCCAGCCATGTCTGTCTGTCTTGTTTTTTTCTTTCATTTTGGTGAAGTGCAGCTTCTGAGAAAAAGTGTATGAGACGCAAATATTTTGCATGTCAGAAAAAGTTTTTTTTTTTTTTTTGGAGACAGTCTTGCTCTGTCACCCACGCTGGAGTGCAAGCGGCACAATCTCGGCTCATTTTAACCTCCACCTCCCAGGTTCAAGTGATTCTCCTACCTCAGCCTCCCAAGTAGCTAGGGCTTCAGGTGTCCACCACTATGCTTGGCTACTTTTTGTATTTTTAGTAGAGATGGCGTTTCACCAAATTGGTCATGCTGGTCTGGAACTCCTGACCTCGTATTTGCATGCCTCAGCCTCCCACAGTGCTGGCATTAAAGGCATGAGCCACTGTGCCCTGCCCAGAAAAAGTCTTTAGCTTTATATTTGATTGATGACCTAATTGGATTTAGAATTGTAAGTTGAAAATAATTTAATCTTTCCTTAGAATGTTTTTTTCTTTTTTTTTTTTTTGAGACAGAGTCTTGTTCTGTTGCCCAGCTGGAGAGCAGTGGCGTGATCTTGGCTTATTGCAGCCTCGGCCTCCCAGGTTCAAGCAATTCTCCTCTCTCAGCCTCCTGAGTAGCTGGGACTATAGGTGCACGCCACCACGCCTAGCTAAGTTTTTGTATTTTTAGTAAAGATGGACTTTTACCATGTTGGCCAGGGTGGTCTTGATCTCTTGACCTCGTGATCTGCCTTCCTCAGCCTCCCAAAGTGCTGGCATTGCTCCTTAGAATTTTTGACGCATTGTTCCATTGTCTTCCAGCTTCCCTCAATGTTGAAAGTTTGTGCCATTCTGATTCTGGATTCTTTGTGATCTTTTTTCCCCTTTGCATGCTTTTAAGATCTTTTCTGGCTGGGTTTGGTAACGCAGCACTGTAGTTTCAGCTACTTAGGAGGCTGAGGCTGGAGCCCAGGAGTTCAAGGCTGCAGTAAGCTGTAATTGAGCCACTGCACTCCAGCCAGGGTGACAGAGTGAGACTCAGTCTCTTTTTAAAAAAAAAATTGTGGTGATATGCTGAGCCCTAGGTTCTTCTTTCTTTCTTTCTTTCTTTCTTTATTTACTTACTTACTTTTAGACAAAGTCTCACTGTCACCCAGACTGGAGTGCAGTGGAAGGATCTTGCCTCACTGCAACCTCTGCATTCTAATTTCAAGCGATTCTCCTGTCTCAGTCTCCTGAGTAGCTGGGACTAGAGGCATGCGCCACCACACCCAGCTAATTTTTGTATTTTTAGTAGAGATGAGACCAGTCTGGTCTCAAACTCCTGGCCGCCCACCTTGGTCTCCCACCTTGGTCTCCCAAGGTGCTAGAATTATAGACATGAGCCATCACACCTGGCCTGGTTTTTTTTTTTTGAGACAGAGTTTCGCTCTTGTTACCCAGGCTGGAGTGCACTGGCGCGATCTCAGCTCACCGCAACCTCCGCCTCCTGGGTTCAGGCAATTCTCCTGCCTCAGCCTCCTGGGTAGCTGGGATTACAGGCACACGCCACCATGCCCAGCTAATTTTTTGTAGTTTTAGTAGAGACGGGGTTTCACCATGTTGACCAGGATGGTCTCGATCTCTTGACCTCGTGATCCACCCGCCTCGGCCACCCAAAGTGCTGGGATTACAGGCTTGAGCCACCGCGCCCGGCCTTTTTTTTCTTTTAACACAGAGACTTGCTCTTGCCCAAGCAGCTAGAATGCAGTGGCACTATCTTGACTCACTGCAATGACCGCCTCTTGGGTTCAAGTGATTCTTGTTCCTCAGTCTCCCTAGTAGCTGGGATTACAGGTGTGCACTACCACACCCAGCTAATTTTTTTGAGTTTTTTTTTTTTTTGTTTTTTTTTTTT